TTCTATTGCCTCCTACCATGCAAACAAGTTTCTACAGAGAGAAAAGAAGGTCATTCAGTAACTTACATGGTTACTTAAATTTTTTATCCCTGGTAGCTTCAAAAACATTTATTCCAGCTCCACAAGCCTTTACTGATAATGCCACGTTCGTCTTTGGATGGTTGTCAAATTAGGGGAAACCTCTAGGCGTTTTCTTTCATATATGAGGGACACGACTTCAGGCATCGCGAGCTCCGGTTTGTTTTGTGCAGAGAGTGACCGTGGTCTTGGACGCGGCCACACCACCCGCCAGTTTGTGACTGAGGGCCTCCTCTTACAGGGAGGCCACTGGGAACCACCTAACACCCAACTGAAACCCCAAATATGGGATCCCGACTCACTTCAGCGTGCTCTCCCCACCCCAGGCTCGGGGGACATTGGTAACAGTCACAACTGGGGATGGCGCTGGCTCCTAGAGGGTGGCGGTCAGGGATGCCACCAAACATCCTAGGCCATGCAAATGCCCCACCACACAGCGATCCGGCCCCAGCGCCCACGGGGCCCAGCGCCACTCAGCAGGGCTGGGTGGAGGGACCGGGCAGCAGGGCCTGGAGGGACGGGGCTGCAGGGCCAGGTGGAGGTACCAGGCTGCGGGGCCGGGTGGAGGGACCGGGCTGCAGGGCCGGGTGGAGGGACCGGGCTGCAGGGCCAGGTGGAGGTACCAGGCTGCGGGGCCGGGTGGAGGGACCGGGCTGCGGGGCCGGGTGGAGGGACCGGGCTGCGGGGCCGGGTGGAGAGACCGGGCTGCGGGGCCCGGTGGAGGGACCGGGCTGCAGGGCCGGGTGGAGGGACCGGGCAGCGGGGCCTGGAGGGACGGGGCTGCAGGACTGGGTGGAGGGACCGGGCTGCAGGGCCGGGTGGAGGGACCGGGCAGCAGGGCCTGGAGGGACGGGGCTGCAGGGCCGGGTGGAGGGACTGGGCTGCAGGGCCGGGTGGAGGGACCGGGCTGCGGGGCCGGGTGGAGGTACCGGGCTGCGGGGCCGGGTGGAGGGACCGGGCAGCGGGGCCTGGAGGGATGGGGCTGCAGGGCCGGGTGGAGGGACCGGGCAGCGGGGCCGGGTGGAGGGACTGGGCTGTGGGGCTGGGTGGAGGGACGGGGCTGCAGGGCCGGGTGGAGGGACTGGGCTGTGGGGCCGGGTGGAGGCACCAGGCTGCAGCCATCACTGATGGTGGCAGACAGTTCATTTTTGCCAATTTTACGAAAACAGGTGCCCACAGGACACAGTGCTAGGGCCCCTCCGGCTGAATCTCTGCCCGTCTCACAGAGAATCTGCTCTGGTGCCTGGAGGGGAGCGGGGAGCAGTGTGCTCGGGACCCATCAAGGCCCGGAAGGCCGTGGCCTCTCCCCACGGCACGCAAACCGGGTGAAGAGAGCAGGGTCGGATGGAGTTAGGCCGCCAGGTGTGGCGAGGGCCACCTGCAAGCGCTCACTGACTCAGGCCTCACAACGACTCCTCAGGGCGAGGCTCATTACCCCCGGTTTGGAGTTCAGCAGCTAGAGACCTCGCCCAGGGTCACAGTTATAGAACAGGACAGTGCCAGGTGGGGCTCTGTCCCCGCTAAGCTGTCCCTGGCAGGCCACACGGAGCACACAGGCACCTCCCGCCACGGCTGTCCCGAGAGCCACTGGCGTGATGTGCTCTGTGTGGGTCTGTGCCCCTCAAAGGTTACGGCTTTTTTAAAACTGTTAATAACCTGGGCCAGGCAAGGGTTAATCCTAGCACTGTAATCCTAGCCCTCTGGGAGGCCAAGGCGGGAGGATCGCTCAAGGTCAAGAGTTCAAAACCAGCCTGAGCAAGAGCTACTATAAATAGAAAGAAATTAATTGGCCGACTAAAAATACATAGAAAAAATTAGCCGGGCATGGTGGCGCATGCCTGTAGTCCCAGCTACTCGGGAGGCTGAGGCAGGAGGATCGCTTGAGCCCAGGAGTCTGAGGTTGCTGTGAGCGAGGCTGACGCCACGGCACTTCTAGCCCGGGCAACAGAGTGAGACTCTGTCTCAGAAAAAAAAATAAAAGTGCCAATAACCTGAAAACTACTCTGTTACAGAAATAAAAGCGATCATTAACTTTTTCTAGCTAGATGCCTATTTCGGGCAGACTGCAACGAGAACCAGCTTTAGGTTACGAATCTCGGATTCGAGGCAGGAAGTCATCAGGAAGCACCAGCTACTGCTCCCTTCCGGCAGTCCCTGTCCCTCTCTCTTCCCCTCAGCTTCTCGAAAGCATCCAAGCAGGGGCCCCCAGGACCGGCCTTTGGCCCTGTGAACCCCGACCCTCCCACCGAGCGGGCCGTTGCGCGCCAGGCCGAGACGCTGGCCCGCAGCCCGGCTGGTGTTTACATTTCTCAGAGATAACTGCGAAGTCTGGACGGCAGAGCCGGATGGAGGCCGCGCGTCCCGCGTGGGAATTGCACCGGGGGCACACGGTACGTGTCGCCCTATCTCCAGCACTCTCCGCCCGCCCGTGAGGACGCTGACCCTGGCCAACCCACCCCTCGTCCCCGAGGAGGCTCACCCCCCAGGTCCCTGCAAGTGCAGGGCGGGGCCTCCCTCCTCGCCCTTCCCGCCCGCGGCCCCCTCCCGGACGGACGCAGAGCACTGATGGCCCAGGGACAGGTGTCCTGGTGCTGCACCTGAAATCCGGACTGCACACACAGCCTGCCACGTGGTTCCACGAGGCAGCACGCCACCAGAAGAGGGAGCCTGACACCGGAGAGTCTCACCCTTGAGCCCGTATGAGAGCCACCCGGAGAGAGGGCTTCTCCAAACAGACTGCCGGCCCACCCCCGGGCACGGCACGCTGACCCGACAAACAGCAGGGGCAGAGCGTTTGGCTCCTACGGAGTTCCCGAGGAGCGCTGGGGCTGCCGGCCCAGGGACCACACTCGAGAACCGCCGCCTCCCGGTGAGTGGGTACGGTAGACCGCCCGCCCCAGTGCCGGACACGTGTGGACGCTCACTTGCCACGCGGTGGCTGTGCCAGGCATCCCGGACGCCCGGCCCGCTGCCCTGTGTTTCCCGAGCCTCACCGCACTCACCCGGACGCTCTGCTCC